CTCAAATAAGCGATCCCCCCAAACTGGCAAACAGAAGAGGGGGGCTGGTTTTCGGAGCCAGCAGTACCCCGACACCAAGCTGAGATGCACCACCGGGAGCGGAACCTGCAGACGTGTGGACACAGAAGTCCCCCCAACGCCAGCCGGGGCTCTGCCCGCCAAGAGGCCCCAGGAGGAAGGGCGGGGCGGTTTCGCAGTCAGTGAGGGTGACAGTCGGATCAATCGGATCGATCGAATAAAGGACGAAAGCCACCAGATCGTCTCAGGAAACAACGCATTTGACGAACTTGGACAGTCCTTTCAGGATGGGCACACCACTCCACAAACTAGGACCAGGAGGGAACTTCCTCCAGGCGGCCAGGCGCTGGAAGCCCCCGCCACCCCCACTCAGCGCTCAGGCACCCCTGCAGGCTCTGCCCTAAGGCTCCGCCCTAAGGCAGGGACAGACAGGGACAGGCAGGGACTGCCCTCCTTGCCTCCGGTTAACCTGGCCCTGGAGGCGCCGGTTCCATTAGGCAAGAACAGTGGACCACATCCCGACTGCAGAGGAAGAAGGTAAAGGTCACCGACTAGCTGTTCGGTGTAGAAAATTCCAAGGAGCCCACTGAAAAGGATTAGAACTAAACGGGCCCAGCGGAGGGCTGGCTACAAGCCCAACACACAAAAATCGGTCGTATTTCTAGACAGTAGCACGCGAACAGCCCCAAAACGAGCTAAGGTCCAGCGCCCTCCTCAGGCAGCCTTCCCTGACCTCTGCGGGGTCCTGTGTCCCTCCACGGGGCTGCACGGCCCCTCCCAACACTGACCACAAGGTCGTCACTGTCCACCCCATCCTCCCAGCTCAGGCCCAGCACACGGGCACCCGGGGAGCCCCAAAGGAGGCGGAGGGTGTCCACCTGGCGGGTGTGGGGACTGCAGTCGTGTGGGAGGCGCAGGAACCCCAAACAGAGCCCCAGCCGGGTGAGTCGCACCCTCCCGGCCTGTAAGGGCACAGGCAGCTGCTGTGAGGACAGATGGCGCCCTCGCTCCTGCTCCCCATCTGGGAGGAGTTGGGGGGAGTCCTCCATTCTCACTGGCCACCGTCCCCCCCTGGGCATGCTGAGGGCTCCAGGTGGCCACTGACTGGCCTTGGGTGGGCGGGGTGGGTCGTGACAGGGCCAGGCTGTGTCCATCTTCACACACACCCGAGTGTCCCTGCTCAGGACAGATGCCAACATCTGCAGCCCCTCTCCCAAGGACGGACTGTCCAAAGGGAAGCCCATCCTGACACCACACATCTTCTGGCCGCCACCGGCCCCGCCCTGCACCCGCGGGTGAGCTGGGCTGGCGGGCAGCTGACCAGAAGCCGGTGCCAGGCCAGGCTGGAGTGAGCGGGGCAAGTGGTGGCTGAGAGTGAGGGTGACCACAGGCCATGGTGGCCTTGGTGACCACACAGCTTTGGGGGGACTTTCAGCCCAGCTCAGACCCCATTGGAGCCCGAGAAAGTGGAGGGGAGGCCCCAGGGTCACCCATCGTCCTGGCGGCCTTGCCCCCCCGGGCTGCCTCTTTCATGGCCCGTGGCCTCCCCCCAGCCCCAGTGACCTGACAGTTCAACTCCATTCACCCCCGGGGGCCTCCATAGGAAACCTCAGTCCCCTTCTCTAGGGGAGACACCCCACTGGTGCCCCAGGCCACCCCGTGAGCTGGCAGCTGCCCAGCTGTGGTGCAGGGCGCTGTGTTCCCGCAGCTCGAGTGGCCGCCTGGACAGGGCTCTGGAAACGCGCAGGTCGGGGTGGGTGGCCAGGTGGTGCCGCTGGGCGTCTGCAGGTGTGCGCCCTGGGAGAGCCACCTGGGCACCGGGCACTCTCGGGCCCTGCTCCTGGGCTCACGCCCCCCTCAAAGCTGAGATTGGTGTTGGGGACCCGAGGTCGAGGTGCAGGGTTGGGGACAGCAGGCAGTGGAGGCCTCCATCACAGCCACAGCGAGTTCCAGGAAGTCAGGCTGGTGGGGGCTGTGCGCAGGCTGCCTGGGAGCTGGGCGCTGTGGTCCACATGGCCGCGTGCCACGGACAGTGCGCTCCACGGGAGGTCCTGTGTGTGCGCGTGTGCATGCGTGGGTGTGCACGGTGTGAGCCGTGCCTGAGAGTGAAGTGGGGTCCCCGGAGGGCTGGGCTCCTGCAGGACCTGCAGACATGCCCCCAACATGGTGAGGGACTGGCGCGCATGTGACCACAGTGTCAGGGAGTTCCTGTCAGTGATGACGGGCTGGCCAGTGTGTGGGAGCCACAGGTCCCCAACACACTCATTCACACACTCACACCCACGCACACTTCCTCATCGCACACGCGCACTTATACATTCACACTCACACCAGGGCGCACACGCATTCTCAATAACACCCACTCACACATATACATGCACACGTAACACCCACTCACACGCATTCACATACTGATCCACACACACTCATACATAGGTGCACCTCATTCAGACGTGCATGCACACTCACATGCATTCTTACACACTCACACTTGCTCGTGCCCACTGGCTCCCTGGCTCCCGCGGCTACACCACAGCCGCCCGGGCTGGCAGGAGCCTCCGTGCGAGGCCCTGTGCCCTGGGCAGGCATGTGGGCCTTGCCAAACCCTCACCACCACCCCAGCCCTGCAACGCGCGGCACCACGGCCAGCCTGGCAGCTCATTACACCTCAGGCTCAGCGCCTTACTCCCACTTTACAGACTAGGACACTGGGGCCAGGAGAGGCTGGGGACCCACCAGGGGCACGGGGCCCTCGCCATGGGCATCTCATGTCACCATCCCCACTTCCTCTGAGGTATGGACCAGAGTCACCCCACGTCACTGATGAAGACTCCAAGAGTCAGAGAAGACCCACAGCCAGTAAGTGGTGGGGCGCTCACGCCGCCTGGAGCAGCCACTCCCCCAGCCTGGCACAGAGCACAGGGGCGGAGGGCTGGCAGCTGCAGGGGGACCTGGCACCTCACACCCACTCATTTGTGCTTGCCTTTCGGTTTCTCCTTCCCCTTCCTCTTCCCGGAATCCTTCTCCATAAAAGAATCAAAACAAAAATCTTCGATGGAGGCGGTGAGCAGCCACGCCAGAGGGAGGGTGCCAACCAAGCCACAAGGAAAGCCCCCGCCCGGAGGCCCCGAGCACAGCGCCCGGCTGGCAGCCAGGGGCCCCCACACCCCGTCCGAACCCTCGGCACATGGCTCACTCACACACTCACTCAGACACACACTCACACTCTCATACCATCACACTCACACACCATCACACTCACAACATCACACTCACAATCTCACAATCTCACACAATCTCTCTCAACCCACCATACTCATCATGCTCTCACACACGCACACTCTCACACACCATAACACACTCACTCACACTCACACTCACACCATCACAACTCACAATGCTCTCACACACTCACACTCTCACACTCACGCCATTACACACACACTCACGCCATCACACAACACTCACACACACCATCACACTCACAACGTTCTCACACACACTCACACATTCACACAACGTTCTCACACTAACACCCAATGTGTGCACACACAGGCCCCAAAGGCCACGGCCGCCCCCGGCAGGGTGTGCTGTGGGCAGGCTCAGCCCCCCAGGCGTGCTGGCCCGGCTCCCTACCGGCTGCCAGCTGTGTGCCCAGAGCCGGGCCCAGTGCCCCCTCCCCTGCTCCCCTCAGGCCCCCTCGGGCCTCCCCAAGTGGCTCC